ACAGCAAACAATTACAACGGTAGACTATGCGCTATTGTTACTTCGCATCTAACAACAGCGTTTTGATTGAAATAATGCCCGAGTATGACTTCTATGCTATGATTCAAATCAGCGTCCAGCACCTTAAAGGCTCGTCAGTGTCGTAATTAACACCAAGAATCCAGCAACTGGTCTTTCACCATTCCTATGAACTCATTTTTTGGGTGTTTAAATGAGTCGCTTTATTATTTCAGAGTTCGGAGCAAAAGCAATTTCTTGGTGGGTCCGGACATTTCGTCGAACGCCGTTTCATCGAACGCCATTTCATCGAAGCCGTTTCATCGAACACCGTTTCATCGAACACCGTTTCATCGAACGCCGTTTCATCGAAGCCGTTTCATCGAACGCCTTTTCATTGAACGCCATTACAGCCTGCAATATTTTGTCATTTATTTTAATGTTTACACACAACGTCATCTAATCCTCCCTTTTTTTGACACAGGGTGCTGTGACGAGAGAAGTTTCATCGTGAACATATCCTGCTTCAAGAAGAAAGCCTCCATGAAAAAAATTACCCCTCTCCATGTCACATAAAACAATTAAAATGAGACAAAAAAAACAACAGAAAGCACGATGTGTTTCTACGGAAGCGGGTAGTGTTTTATTGTCTGACAGCGTGTGCGGTGTCAGACAATAAAACATAACCTTGGATTATGTGTGGATCCGAAAGGGTTCTGTCTTCTTGGGCGACAGAGTACACCCAGGGCTTTACTATTGTCTGGTGCGGGTTGGCCTTCCTAAGAAAGCGTCCTGAAGATCATTCATAGGCAAAGGGTCGGTGATAAAGGTGATAGTGAAGGGGAGGTGGTTCCAGTCCAGATGTAGCCCGATATTATGTTGGCTGACACTTTGTGCAGCTTTTGTCTCTGTAGAGTTTGAAAAAAAAAAAAAAAGCAGAAACGTTCAATCTGAGCATAAAGCTGATAATCAGAGTGTCGTTATATTTTATTTCGTGTGCTCTCCTGGCAGAGTATCGTTTTATTATAAGCGTGCTGCCCTCTGGCAGTTGAATGCTTTTCGTGAATAAACCTTCAACTAAGAGTAAGTGTGCAAACGAGCTGATGTGACTGTGAATTGCACATTACGGAAACCCCCAGACAGCCGGTAAAAAAAACGACACAGACATTCAGAAGTGTTTTAAGTGTCGGTCCTTTACCTCCAGTGTCATGTTTTTGTCATGTACATGAGTAAGACTTTTCAGTAAGTCGCCTACCCATTTGTTTTTACACCAATGGTTTTATTTCTAGTAATTTGGCTCCACCCCCAAAACAGTTTCACAAGTGACTACCTTAGTCTTAACAAATGCAAGGTAAAACATCTATAAAGCACTGTTATGCCCCAAAACTCGGTACAGAGAAATTCGATGAAACGGCCCTTAGTGATTCGATGAAACGGCATTCGATGAAATGGCGTTCGATGAAATGTCCATTCATTCGATGAAACGGCGTTCGATGAAACGGCGTTCGATGAAATGTCCGCTACCCATTTCTTGGATGGATCCCGGATGGCGCCGCAGTCAAGTTAAGAGGGAATGAAAGCAATAAAAAATACGATAAGGCGGCGACGGAAACGCTGAGGCGCTTCTCTCGCCCTCCTGCGGTTTACTTCTTTTTCTTGGAGTTGTTATTGTTATACTAGTTGTTTATGACTAACCATTTACACATAATTCTAAGTGTAAGAAAATGAGCCATTTCCTTACACATACTATGCGTAACAAATATATCTATAACAACCGTTATCATAATTTTTTTGTAAGGAAAAATATAATTTCCTAACGCTTATTAAGTGGAACCAGATAAAGAGTATGTATAAAAACAAACTGAAGTTTAAAAAAAAGTAATTTTTTGATGCGGTTTTACTTCGTTGCCCGGTTTCGCTCGGTTTTATTCGGCTTCGCTTCGAAAACGGGTAAATTTTGAAGTAAATTCTGAGTGTTTTTTTATGTGGATACATCATTAGGTTGGCGAAAAGACGAGCTAAAAGAATTTCTTGCTTAAAAACGTGGAGGGCCGCAAAAAGTACGCGTCAACCCAAAAGCCAGAATACGCAATTTCCAGAACTGGACCCTCAAAAATTTCGGGCATGCAAGGAAAACAACAACAGCAACGGTATTGCGTGCTTGAGCGCAACATTCATTTCATTGAGAAAGGAAGCTAGATCCTGGTGGCTCGACTGAGCTGCTGTGACCTTAATCGTTCACGAGACGGCTTATCTTTCGCACCGAAGTTCGCACAAAAAAGCTTTTCCCATCTACTTTCTTTATTCTTACTGTTTCATACCAAGGCACTCCTATCTAGTGTTCCGGCAGGTGGTAGAGGTTATTTCGAAGAACGTGAATTATTGCAGTAGGCATCAATCGTTTTGTGAGCACTAGCGAAAAAAAAAATAATAATAAAAAAAAAATAAAGGTCTGCCACTAGTCTGGGGAGAAAAGGGCGGGGGATTAGGGGGATTGCTAAGTTTAGCAAGACGTCCGCTTCCCCGCTCCCTTCCCCCCATCCCCCTTCCCTTCTCTTCACCCTCCTTGTACAATACATACTGCCTTCCTACTCCTTCGCTTGAGCAGAAGAAACCTTCGAGCTCTGTTTTCCGGCAAATAGCACCGATATTTAGCTTTTTTTTTTTTTTTTTTTTTAGTTGTGGATTAAAGTTATCTCGAAAAAGCCCCCCCCCCCCTTTTTTTTTCTTCTCGCGGTCACAGCTGGCACGCGCTCATTTTGACACGCGAAGTCTCATGGCATATTTTGTAAGGTTACAGCTGAAGGATGTTTTTTTTTCCTTTAAACCGGACAACGTACCAGGATTTTGCTTTGCAAAGCCAACGGGAACGAATGTGGATAGAGCCAAGCCGTGTTTTTTCATACTCATTTCGATACGAAATTCTGGACACTCCTTTGAAGATTTAGTAGGGTAGTTTTGTGCACGTCACGTGACCTAGGTCCGGAATTTGCGTTTAGAAGAAAGAAGAACAGAGCTTGCCTGTACAAGCAGCATCTAGAGAAAAATAAATGTTGCAATTCAAGTGGTCTTTTATTTAGTTCAGTCGTTTGAGATACTTTTGTTCTCTTATATCTTTGCGCGTTGTTAAAAATGCGTTTTTTTTTTTGTGTGTGCGTGTTTTTTTGTTTTTTTTAGTAGCTTTAGGTTTCAGCGCTTTGCTCACAAGCAGAAGTCGCGCACTCGCTCACTTCTGAGGGAAACAAAAATGTATCGCAAACAACTAAACTAAAAGAAAAAAAAAAGCTTTAGGCTTTTTAAGATCCTTTTTTTCTATAAAAGCCACTCGGTCAACCTCCCGAAACCACTCTTCATTTTTGCTGTCGAAACAACTCCCGATGCTCGTTCTTGGCCTGTTCCCTTGAGAGGTAAGCTTCCCATTTTAGGTCTGCAACTCAGTCATTATTATCAATATACTAATTAAAATTGCGGTATCGTTCGCTTATGACGAGGTACATACAACAGTTGGAGCATATTCCGTCGCCCCGTTTTCTAAAACATAATTTTAAAATTAAGGTTTGTTTATTGCTATAATTTAGCGCTGCATGAAGTTTTCATCTGGAGCGTAAAGGGATGTAGCTCCCACGGATGGCTCACAAGCATCTCGCTCTATAAGTATTTATACACACCACTTATGTTTTATTGCGGTAGTTTGTTCGGCAAAATGCCCGTCTACAGCACGCTAACTGCAATGCTCACTTCTCTTTTCTACTTACAACACGTTTTGAACCAAATATTTAGTAACCATTTCACCTTAGTATTCAATGATTTGTTATACGATGATATTACGATTGAGAAAAGATATCCTCCTTATTTATGTCACCTTGGACTCTACAAACCACAAGATTTGCGCAATGCTTCCATCTCTAAAAAGTCCTCGATATCTATAGCTAAAAAAACAGATTGCGCTCTAAATGACACCCACCAGTTGGTGCTCGCAGCACCTAAAACTCCTAGAATCTAAGCGCGTTTTTCAAAACCTGTTAACAACTCCGGAGTTCAAATACGATTGACAAATGCATCGAGAAAATAATAAACCTTGTGTTCATCGTAGTCATAAACGCTGGAGGCACATTGTGGTTTCGATCAGCCAGGCAATAGTGTCTGTGGCTGCGCAAGGTAATATCTGTTATGATTTGTTTAGATTTTGTGTGCCTAGGATTTGTTACGCCTGTTGTGATTCTACCGTGCGGTGCTTGCGCAAGCACTCACATCATGTGCCTAACTCATTCACAATATATTGTTTGCCTCTCCGATTTTATAGGTATAGTTTTGGGTCTGTCCTAAAGAAGGGTGTAGGCTTCCGCGAGACATGAGGCACAGCTGCACGCACCCTCTTTGTTTGGGTCGATCGTGTCATTTGTGCATGTCGTCCGGGCGTGTCGGTTTTCTCAGGGATCTCAGCCATGTAACACATAGCACGAGGAAAAGTTTGTAGCTTGCGGAAGGAAAATTTAGGTGCGCACCCAATAACCTTGTTTTCTAAAATTGCAGGATGGCACAAATCTCTTCCCACACATGGAGGCACACCCAGCGTGGAAATCCTCTACTGATTGTCACAACCTTAGAGGGTGTGACCCGGGAATATATATATAGCTCCAAATATAGGCCACCATCATCAACAGAACCGTGGGTGAAGTACTACGTGTGCCTTGCATGTCGACGAGAAAAGGAAAAGAACGGTATAAGGAACCAGCCTTTACCGAGGATGAAAGTGCTGGAGTCCGATGTCGTGTTTGACATGAAAACCACTCCACACATCTGTATCCCCTTGGAGCCATGCCAGGTAGGTGAATATTTTCAAACATTTTCTTTTTTAGAGCGCAACTTTTAGGCGCCAGTTTCCGGGTTTCGTGGCGTCGGCCTAACCTATTACGTGTTATTACATCCATCGAGCCAGTACATCCTCAGAGCCATTACATCCATCGATGGATGTAATGACACGATGGATGTACGGCTCGTTGGATGTGTTGACATGTGTATGGATGTAGCTGCTCGATGGATGTATTGGCTCGGTGGATGTAATTGCTCGTCCTTTGTTATGACGCCTAGTCTGCCATTACACCCATCGTACTAGTACATTCATAGAAGCCAAGATGGCCGCCATGGTGCTTTTTTTGTTATTCACATTCTTATTGGTTCGGGTGCCCCAGGGAACAAACGGTAAGCTAAAGAATGGTTAGTGTATCAACATTAAATTTTGTAAGCCTTCAGATTAATTTTTTTTCGTTTCAATTCAATTTGGATTAATCTTTATTTACTCCAGTCTGGAGAAGGAGAAGGGGAAAAAGCTACATTGCGTGGCTTGACAGGCGCCTTAGTAAACACTTGGAAACACATTACATGACATCATCACTCATGATGTTTCACAAAGCGAACGAAAAGTATGACTATACGCGCCGTCCTAATCCTATATTAAATTTGTTGATATTTAGTTAATTTTGAGGTTGAAAAAAGCAGTAATTAATGTTTGATCAGTGTGGAAACAACAGACAACGAGCCGACGATGCGCGTTCAACTTTGGAGACGCCAAGGGCCGCAGAAAGTGAACTACGCACAAGGGCCCCTTCCCTCGCTTTTGTACATTTAACGCTTTAAAGTACTGTGAACTACAGACTGTCAATTAGACGGCGAGTAATATAAAATTCCTGTATCGAAAAAGCATCCGAGAAGAAACTTTATGTTCGATGAAACGGCGTTCGATGACATGACAATCGATAAAACGGCATTCGGTGAAACAGCTTCCATTAAATTATACAGCATAGTTAAACGAAGGAATAAACCTGCGTGTGTGATGGATATAATGGCACGTTTTCGGACGAAGAAGCTCGATGGATGTGATCACACGATGGATGATATGGCAGGATGTATGTAATGACACGCTCTTGGACGAAGTTGCTCGATGGATCTGATGGCGCGGTGGATGTAATGGCACGATGGATGTAATTGCTTGATTGATGCAATGGCACGTTGGATGAACTCGCCAAAAATGTATGTAGTGGCACTATGAATGTAGTAGCACGAGATAGGACGTAATTGTTCGATGGATGTATTGGCACAATGGATGCGTTGGCCCCAAGCCGGCGCTAAATTTAGCGGGAAATTGAATTAGTGTTGAGGGCATGGGACGTCAATTTTTCCGCTAAATTTAGTGGGGAAAATTATGCCATATCAATTTGTCACGTCGCCCATGAACAGATTCAGTTTCTCCGCCATATTTAGCCGGAGAATTGACGCCACGTGACCTCAAGACCAATTCAGTTTCCCGGTTAAATTTAGCGGGGAAAACGACGTCATGGCTTCGTGTCACGTCACCCGGGAACAAATTCAGTTTCTCCGCTAGATTGAGTGGGAAAACTGAAGCCACGTGACCTCCACGTCAATCTGAATTGTACAGAGGAGGAGGGGCATACCCTCCCCTCCTCCTCAAAAGCTCAGCTCTAATTTCTCGCTGCCCAGATTTGTAATTAGACACAAAGCTAGCGCTCCGCAATATAACCCTAATATTGTGAAAACTATTTTTAGGTTTCCTACTTTCTAGTGCTCTAGTTTGACGGTTTTTTTTTTTTAATTTCCTTGCTCCGTTTTGCAAACTGGAATGATAATAATACGAGCCCTTTAGTAAACTGCTGATATTCGCAGGTTTCAACAGTAACATTGTCACATCAATTTTCGGGCGGAATTATATTATTCTCAATTTACTTATTGCTAAATGCCCCTCCTTTTGCAGCTGGTGGCGAAACACCACGAAAGGGATCACCGCCTTGCCATACCAGTCAGTACGGCAAAGCGGCCGCGCGAAGCCTATGAGAACATGCAGGCGGACTTGGCCAGATCTTTCAGCGCCAACAGTATCAACGAGCAGCGACAAATAGAGAGGCATTTGCCGCCCTACAAGTGAGTCACGTTCGTTTCGAATAGTAATACATGGCTTGCATTGGCGTCACACCAGCCGCCATTGCTCCGGACCATGCTCCGGTGCCCATACCTTCTGCAGCATGCATTTGGCACTTTCAAATTTCTTTTTCTCGGCAAGCCTAGCCGAGAAAAACTAATTCGATGGTGCGATATGCATGCCGCAGAAGATACGTGCACAGAAATGGTACGAGGCAATGGCGGCTGGTACTGTGCCATATGACTTCACGTGCAAGGCAAGAATAGCATCTAGTAGAATTAACTATATTATAGCACCCATTAAAAATAGAGCTGCCCGCCTTTAACGCACCGAGTTAGGAGCGAAAATTATGGCAAATTTCTGGGCGAATCTGGGGCGATTTCGTGAAACGTATATGTCCGACTTTAGCACCCACAAACATGCTGAATACGCTGGTTCTCGACCGATCACTGAAGCCAAACAGCGGGACCCGTCAGGGAGGGAGACTAATTTTTTGGCCCCTCTTTCCTACCCTTTAGTCAACGTGACTTCTCTCGAGCAATCAAACCTCGATTTTCAACTGATCACGTTACTTGTCTCGACCAGCGAGCGCGTTTCAGACACGAGAACCAAAATGCTAGGCTAAGAACGTTTCACGTTAAAAAAATGGTAGTTTCGAAAGAGCTGCGGAAAGTGCTTGCACAGCTTGCAGCGTTTTAGCGCCGCTCGAGTTAGTACTCGAGCCCCCACCTCATCCCAGAGTTGCGGTACTATACAGATCCTGAAAAAAACGCTCACTTATTATTTTTTTTACAGGTCTGTGAAGTCTCAGTACTATCGCAAAATCAACAAGCGATACCCAACGCTCCATGGAATAGGTGACCCGGGTTCAGTCTGGGCGGAGCTCACCCAGACTTGGGAGTCAAGGAACAACGTGAACTCCGATGACCGCTACGTGCTATTTGAGCAGGCACAACCCCCGTTCCTTATCCTTGCGTCGGCCCAGGACCTCCGGACCCTGCACGATTCAAGACACTGGGTGTGCGATGGCACTTTCGACTTTTGCCCACCGCAGTTCAGCCAACTTTATAGCATTCACGGCTTCAAAAGAGGAGAAGGACTTCCTCTTGTAGCGGGACTCCTGCCAGACAAGACCCGGGCCACATATACGAAGTTCTTTGAGGTGGTACGCACTGCCCTGATCTCTGCGTGTGGTGACGTCGGAGAACTCCGATTCGGACATTTCGACTTCGAGATGGTCGCTATCTCTACATTCGAAGTGACCTTTCCGGGGGCAGAGTCCAAGGGGTGTCTGTTCCACTTCGCCCACTGCGTCATCCGCAAGATGGCCCAACTAGGCTTGCGGGTGCGTAGATCTTTCTTAAAACTTGTAATTTGGAAATTGTGAAATCGCCCTTTGCCAGTTTTGTGCCTAATCTATAATCTGCATTTAACCTTGATCCTGCAGGAACTCTATGGTGACATCCAAAGGCCAGCTTTCAGGCGCTGGGCTCGCAGGCTAGTGAGCCTCGCCCTCCTCCCGGAGCGTCTCGTGATGCCCCACTGGACTACATCCCTGAAAGGCCAGACGCCGATGACCGGAACTCCGAGGCTAGACGCAGCCATAACGGAGTTTAGTTCTTACTTCGAGCGCCAGTGGCTCGTTTCGCCAAGACAGGTGGCACTTTGGAACCACTTCAAGGATGAAGACAACCTGCGCACTACAAATCACGCCGAAGGGTGGCACCGCTCGCTGAGCTCCCGTTTTCAGTGCCAGCCGAGGATGCCCCTCGGGAAATTCATGGTAGATTTCCAGAAGAATATCCACCACATGACACAGGTAAGCCTCTATTTTATATCCACCAATTAAGATATGGGTTTACAAACCGGTCCTCTGGGAACCCTAACAACCTTCCAAAATTGCCCCGGAACCCTCCCCGTCCCCAGCCTCCGCTCCCCGTAATAGTTAATAGGGAGTTTTCGTAGATCTTTTTCGCCATCCCGCAATGCTCTCCCCAACCCGCGACGACTCCCGGAATTCCACAGTCAAGGCCATCGGCGCGCAGGCGCAGTAGCTGCTTCTTCGTTGCGGCGGCCCCTGCGGAGGGGTAAATGCTGTCTGCGAAAACTCCCTATTCGCTGCGTTCACAGGGATGCGCCACTAGCGAATCGGAGCGAGTTAGCACGATTCAAGTTAATAATAATAAACGTCCAAGTATATTCTTGAAACCATACACAATGCGAATGATATATCTTCGGGGCCATGAAAGACATACGTGTATCCGAATGTGACAGCAATGACCATTGGAGCCGCGGCGTTTAAACCATGGCGAAAGCGGAAAAAATAAATCTTTCATGTATGGTTGGGCGCTATGTTCCAGATTTCGATTACCCACTACTTCAGTAGCTTGGGAATAGGCAAGCCGGAAAAACACGCACTGCTAGCTGCAACCTACGAAGCGGGCGCGGTAAATGTTCACATTAAACATTGCCATCAGTGAACGCCGGTTGCCGGCCGTTCGCACGCCTTGTTCTTCCGCCTGTTGGCCACCCCGTCGTGTGCGCATAGTCACAAAAAATTCCTTCATACTTAAACAGCACGCTTGAACAACGTGCGCACACAGGGGTACAAAGCGATTGCACAATGTAAGCAAGCGAATTCATGTAAACGGAATGGTTGAAGTGGATTTGATATGCAAGCTCGATCCGATGCACTGCTGTCGCATCCGGAAACGTAGCCATCGTCGTCTCGCGTTATGCTTCTCCGTTTTGCATAGGCGCTTTGGGGGAAAGCATACCTGCTTCGACCGATATATCGGGTTTAATCTTCGCCGCTTTACACCGGCGCGTCACGGTGGAGCGCCTTGCTTTTCCCGGATGCTCATGAATTTCGCAGATCTATTTTCAAACTTCGAAATCTTCGAAAGTATATCTAAGTTGCCAAGTAGTCCTCTTCAGTTCGAAGTACGAATCAAATATGTGACTGTTGGTTACGATATTCAAAGCTTTCAAATATTCGCGCCAATCTAAAATAACGATTAGTAGTTGGGTACAAATATATAAAAAAAGCAAAATCTAACTATGGGTGCTCACGGAGCCGAAGAGACCTGCCCGCGGAACCCAGTTTGAAAACCACTGAATTAAGTTAGGGGAGGACAATTTTCGTAGAACTGCTATGTACGTGCCGCCGCCTGGCAATTACCCCTATATCAATCAATCGATCAATGTTTATTAGTGTCCAGAAAATATCATGAAGGCCTTAGTGCTGGCACACTTGAAAAAAAAAAAACCGGGAAAAAGTAGGAGACAAAAGTGCAGGGGAGGAACGCAGTCCAGCAATCTGACGAAATAATAACAACCAATGTAAATTCCAATCAATTTCCAGGCCAAAGCAAAGAAAAAAAAATCGCCATGTCAACGGTAATAGTTGTGTAAACATATACGAGCACCGCCAGCATAAGGGGCTTACTAACACTGCGATCAAACGCTTCGCAGCACGAAATCATAACGTGGGAATTTCTGAGCGAGAGTACGAGATTTTCTGCGATATCATTATCGCGGCTTATAGCTCCTATTGTTTGCCTCAGCCACTCCGCATTCGTTGCCAGCACGCTGGTAAGACATTGTTGCCCGGGAGCGTGAGGATAGAGGAGACAAACGCAATCCTCTGTACATTGATGACTGCCCGTAAAAAGCCCATTGTTTCAGATATTATGAGCGAACTAAACGTTCATGGCATTGTTTTTATTATTATTATTATTATTTGTTATAGGTGAGGATCCGGCAGCTTGAGAACGGAGAGACACCAAATGCCACGCGACCTAACTACGCGGCTAACAACGATGCCATCCGGACCCACAAGCAAAGCCTCCAAAGGCAGTGGATGAACCTGACCGCCGCTGTGAGAGGGGGAGGGGCGACCGCTGCCAGCCTCCAGCAGCAGTTTGAACAGAATGTGAACATGTTTCTAGACGAAGTATCATGGTTGCTGGGGCTCAACAGTTAAAGTTCTTGAACTGTGTTCTTTTTTCTGCTATATTAGCATGTCTTTTGCATATGTATATTTTTTTTGTGTGTGTGCTGCTTTTCAAGTGTATGCTTATATCTTGTTTTTTGTATATATGTTAGGCTAGCCTGTCTTGCTTAAACTCTAAAAAATGCCTGCGCGTCTACTTATCCGCCAAACACTCAAAGAACCAATCTGTGCGATCTAGGAAATCAGCTCAGCGAATGATGAGGCACCTGTTTAGACCTAAAAAGGCAGTCTGTGCTTTGGCATTGTGGAATGCAAAGCGTCATGCTTGCAGTGCGTAATGCCATAGCGCAGACTTCATTTTTAGGTCCAAACAGGTGCCTTATCATTCGCTGAGCTGATTTCCTAGATCGCACAGATTGGTTCTTTGAGTGTTTGGCGGATAAGTAGACGCGCAGGCATTTCTTAGAGCTGGACGTAATTTTATGTGATCTTTCGAAGTAGCCATTGTATTGTTTTCAAGCGCTCAGTTGGTATTTTTTAGGCTTTAGGAACCTTTTTACACACCTGCTATGCTAAATCGCAGTTTTTTTTAACCTAAGCATGTTTGTGTATTTTATGTTTTTTTGACAAATAAACACATCGAAAAAAAATCGAACTGAAATGACAACCAGTCGTTCATAGTGTAAAACCTTTTATGCGGCATAAAAGAAAAAAAAATTACAGCATTCATTTCAGCTCTTCACGTAGTGAAGCGTAGTGTAAGGCGGGAGGCTGTGTTCTTCTCGCAGGTGGGCAGACGTGAGCACTATATAATTTTACCAAGGTGAGTACTATCACTCAGAAGCTCGGCATTTTTACACTAACGCAAAAAAAAAACAAAAAAACAGGGACGAAGCTAATCAAAAAGAAAACGGAATTTCACCAATGAAAAATTCTGCTTTATACGCAAGTTCGAGTTATCTTCTCGAAACATTTCACCTAATCAAATGAGATTACCAAAGTCACCTTGACATTTTCTGTGACGTCATCAATCTAGACTCCTGATATAACACCTGACACGTCACAACGGCACAGCCAACACCTTGAGCCACCGCTGGGATGACCTTTTACGCGAAGCTTCCTCCAGAGGTGAGCCAAAAAATGATTCCTTCGTTAAAGTGTAAGAGGATCCTTAGATAACCAACTAGTTGTACACAAGAAGTTGCAGCGACCCCGCTTCCGTCCTTGTCACTCACAATATGTTTTTTCAAAATTCAACTAGAGTATGTTCTCCAGCTTAGTTCGTTAAAATGGTTAGAGGTTGCCAATAAAATACCTTGTGGACTAACGACGCAACTAACGACGCAGCAATATAATCTCCACTATGGTGTTCGAGTTCGGCACGTTCGACAATGCAAAAAGTCACGCTCGCATTGCCTAATGTCACAACTCAGACTGCATTTTTTGGTCTAAAAATACGTTTCGGCATCGACATTCGCTGAGTTGGCTCCATAGGTTGCGGTGATTGGCTCTCGGAGTGTTGTGCGGGAAAGAGGACGCACGGGTTCTTTTTAGAGTGTACAGAGCGCTCGAAAAACTTGAGTGCGCTGTAACGAAACACAAAACACTCACACAGCAACTCTTGCTTTTAACCGGTTTCATAATCTTCACAACAGCACCTCGATGAAACACAGAAATCAGTGAGCTCATGCATAAAGCGTACAAACTCAGTACGAGGTCCCTTGTTTTCTAATAGAACCTTAGTTAATTTATTCCTTTTTACATTTTATTGAAGCGTCTCCGATTTCTGTTTCCCGTTATGACATACCACCCCCAACTAGATAATCTTTCAGAATTGTCTTGTTAAAATTGATACCTGAACGTTAAGTCGGGGTCACACTGCTCATAAATCCTACAAAGGACGGTTTGCATAGAGATTCGAACGCGAGTCACCGCGAGGTCCGTGCTTCGAATGCTGCAGGGCAATGAGTTAAAGGAGAAACATGGCACGCGGTATTCGAACCACGGATATCGCGGTGACTGATATCCGGAAGACTGTTTATTGTAGGATGCATGAGCAGTGTGACCCCGGCTTTAGGGTATCAATTTAGAATTTCATGTCAGGTCTTCGGATCAAAAAGAAGCAAATCCCATTCCGTCTCCTCATTTGTTTTATATCCAAACGTTTGCTTAGTAGACTTTTTCTTTGCAAACTACCTTGATCGGTCGTACATATAAAGTCGGAGTACACAGAAACTGTAGTGCGTGCGATAGGCTTAGCTTCCCTCGTAGGTGCATTTCTGCACTTTTCCACACATCAAGTGTACTCCAAATTTATCCGTAGGATCATGGAAAGTTTCTTTTCTCCTTCTGTCGGAAGGGGTGCAGAAAACAACTTCGAGATTTCACCTCTTTCATTTGACAGTGAGGGATGCCTTATCAAGTCGGAAGAAGTAACACGCGACGACATGCAGCTCAAAGATAGGCGCCGAAAAAAGGCAAGGACAAGAAGAGACGTAAACACTGGCCGGCATGCAGCTCCTGACCGTGCCGCGTGACACCGTCTTCACGGAGTGTCTTCAATTAAAATTGAGCTTGTGCACGCGCCCTATTGGCCGAGCACATAGAAGACGAAGGAGCGAAGAAGCACGAGTTCATAGCAAAAGAACAGAAAAATAAATAAAAGCAAGCATCGAGATCAAACTCGTCGAACCAAACAGGTCTCCAAACAGAAAGGAGCGAAAACAGGGCGCGCCATCTATCGGTCTTCTTTCCAACGAATTCCCGCGACGACGGAGTAGCCACGCGTGCACTTATCGCTCCAATCCCCACCCCCGTTCTCGGCCCTTAAGCCTCCCTTAGCCTTGACGCCGTGCCCGGCCTTCCCCCCCCTTTCGGCCTCGACACCTCTCCCGGCCCTTTCGCAGTCGTCGGCCTAGCCCCCGCACTCGGCAGTTCCGGCTCGCTCGGCCTTAATCCACGCTCGGCCCTTCCGCGAGACCCGGCCGAACTGGTAGTGACCCTGCGAAAGGGCCGGGAGGGGTGTCGAGGCCGAAAGAGGGGGGAAGGCCGGGCACGGCGGAAAGGCTAAGGGAAGCGTAAGGGCCGATAACGGGGGTGGGGATTAGAGCGATCAGCACACGCGTGGCTCCTTCGTCTACGCGTGAATTCGTTGGAAAGAAAACCGATAGATGGCGCGCCCTGGTTTCGCTCCTTTCTGTTTGGAGATCTGTTTGGTTTGACGAGTCTGGCGTGGAGCACGGTGGAGGAAAAATGTGTTTCTTCCACCGCGGCCTAAAAAGCTTTCTTTTTTTAACACACATTTGGAGCGAGCGAGCGAGCGATTGTAGCAGCAGAGTGAAGTCTGGAAAAGCGAAACAACGTAATCCCGCTGCATGAGCTCTCGTGCATCCAGATCTCCTATGAACTCGTGCTCTAGTTTTCGCAATAATACACGGGGCTCCTAAATTGTCTCAACATCTTTGTCTTCTATGTGCTTGCCCAAAAGGGCACGGGCACAAGCCCTGCTTGCATAGAAGCCTCTCGGCTCCCCTCTAGGCTGACTGGCACAGTGTCTTCACGCGGCAAGGTAAGGAGCTTCATTTCGTCGCGTACTACTACTTCCGACTTTATGAGCCCTCACAGTGAAAGGCAAGAGGCAGAACCTCAGTTTTTTTCTGCACCCCAGCCAACAGACGAAAAGTAAACTTACCATGATCCCAAGGATAAATTCGGAGCATACTTGATGTGTGGTGTCTGAGGTGGCCAAAAAAAAAGAAAATATTCCTACGAGGGAAACTAAGCCTATCGCACATATTACACATTCTGTGCACTCCGAATCATATGTGCGACCGATCTAGGTAATTTGCAAAGAAAAAGTCTACTAAGCAAAAGTTTGGATACAATACAAATGAGGAGAACTACGGAATAGGATTTGCTCCTTTTTGATCCAAAGGCCCGACAGAATTCTAAATTGAAACCCGGATCACACCGCTTACACCTCATACAAAAGACGATCGAGTCACCGCGAGAACCGTGTTTCCAATGCCGCGTGCCATGTTTCTTCTTGAACTCATTGCCCTGCAGCATTCGAAGAACGGGCCCCTCGGTGACTCGCGTTCGAACCTGTCTGCAGACCGTCCTTCGTAGGATTTATGAGCAGTGTGACCCCAGCTTAACGTTCAGGTATATATTTTATCATGAAAATCCTGAAATATTACGTAGTCGGGGGCGGTATGTCATAAAGAAAAAGCGTCGGGATTGCCATGGTGGGGAAGAACAATCAGAGATGCTTAAAAGAGATGTAAAAAAATTGCAAGGCGAGTAAAAAAAAGAATTAAGATTAAGTAACCGCGTTTCTATGAGAAAGCAATTGACGTTGCACTGAGTTTCTATTTGTGCACGAGCTCACTAGGTAGCCGGACAAAAGCTCACCGACAAAAGCTCACCGACAAAAGCTTACCTAGTTTTTTGGCTAAAGACAGGCTGGGATAAAGTGCGGGCACGATGGACATTGCACCATTTTTAGGAGGACTGGTACCCCTTACCATACAAAGGTGTCGACAGATAAGCCATAACAGGCGAAGCGACGATTTGGGACCAAAATTTAGGTCACCGATACTGAGTGGAGCTGATAACATAAAACTTGCCGGAGTACCCTTGCGCCACGCCGAAGGAACTTCGTGGATCGAAGTTTTGAACCCACTTTTTCAATGCTCTTATGTTACGCTAAACGCGCACATAAAGGTTATGCAGAATCTACTCATCGACATTGCAAGAACGCACTGGCATATAATGGTCAGTGGTAAGCGTGTTTCACATGCAGCGATTTCGGCCCTAGAGCGGCGCGATTTCTGCCGTCGCGGCGCTCGTGCCGCTCAACCGCTGGTGCTGGCCAAAGCGCCGGGACGGCAGAAATCGCGCCGCTCTAGGGCCAAAACTGCTGCATGTGAAACACGCTTTAGTCTGGAAATACCTTTAGCTTATTACTGGAAGCATGCTTAAATAGGCTGGTTTAGGCGTGTTAGCTTTGCCTCCAGAAGTTGAAGTTGCTCGAGCGCTTGTAAACTTTGTTTAATTTTGTAAAGGCGCGATTCAGGTGTATTTCTGCAAAGTAAAAAAGAAAATAGCGTGGTACAGAAATTATATATGTTTTGCTGCTTCTTTGTGCATATTAAGGCGTCTGAACCAAAATGGGTTCATCGGGAACGCCAACTAGGGCCGCCGTTATGTCCACGCGTCTATGCCTCGCCATTCCGTCGTGGCCAAATGCATGGAACTTTCGCTCTAGATTATTATGTTAGACAAGCTTTGTACCCCAACTACGGGTTTATGGACAACATTTCGTGTCAGATGAGGAACCTCTTTGCGATTGACTAGGGGAAAATATATTCTGAAATGTGATTATAAAAAGACGGCTCTCTGACTACGGCACTACCGCTGCCCCAATAAGACGCAGAATGCCTCCAACATGGCGTCAAGGCACTGATAGCAGACGACAATGTTGGTTTCGATTTCGAGTCTAACCAGAAGTGAGTTAGGTGCAAAATCTTATACTTAAAGGCGCAAAAGAAATGAGCACAAAGAAGTAGGCGTGCACACTCGGAGCGCTACAAACAACTGAATTTTATTAAAAAAAAGAAAAAAAAGAAAACGAACATATATACACACTTTATTATACCTCACCCCAAATGAACCTGAATTCCTTATTTGATGAAACGAGTGACGACACACTCATGCAACCGTCATACTCATTTACACTTTCTGCCGCTTTTTTGGATTCCTACTTCCCCGGAATCTGTGTTTTATCCAGCAAAGGATCACACGAACACTTATTACAGTGGACTTCGAAGTTCCATGAAAGAGACCGCTTTACAGACTGTTGATGACCTATGTACGATCGGGTGGTGCACGGAAACACCCGATGACAAAAGCTCCGTGTGAAATGACCACGAATGACACACCGTCCTTTTGCCCCGCCTTAAAATTGCCAGTTTCATCAGGAGCGAATGACGCGAATTCTCAGATAAGGTGGCCGGGTCCTCACCGTGACGGCGGAGCACTTTGCTTCTAATTAAGCGACAATAAGTGGGCACGCGAGCGTGTGTAACGTAATCATGCCGT